AAAACACCTACTGCTAAACATAAATTCAAGTACTCTTAACTTCTTAAATTCTATTCTTAAATTCACAAAACATGCACACATATATACATATACACATAGACTTGTTTATATATTAGGGTCTTTCAATGAATGTATTTTTGTAATTTTGTTGGTATATGGAAAAAACAGTTTATGATTGCTTTATTTCTGAGTCTTCACTAAAAGGTTAACAAGAGTTAAAATTCTAACTGATGTACTTCTATAAGTAAAAATTACAAAAAAATTAAGCTGTTCTTTATTGGGGGAAATCTGTTTTAAAAGAAAAAGGTATTTCATCTTATTGGATAAAAAAGAGTAATTTGTCAAAAGTCAAAAATTTCATAAAGGTTGTTTTAAATTATAAATATAAGGAAGGGGAAAAAGAATCAGCAAGTAGGAAGGAAGAAATATAAGAAAGCTATAAGCATGGGGATATATTTTAAGGAAAATTAAAAGGAAAATATGTTTTGGGATGGAAAATCAGAAGCCTTGCAATCACAGTGAGTTGTGAAAACTGCTACTAGGATAATTAGATATCCACTTGAAAAAAAAACAAAAACTGGACCCCTACTTTACATCATAAGCCAAAATTATTACCTCAAAATGGAACAAATGCATTAATGTAAGAGATAAAAAATTAAACTCTTAGAAGAAAAAACAGATGTAAACTTCATAACCATAGAAATTCACATGAATTTTTTTACAGTGAAAGAATAAGATATTTTTTACTCTGGCCTATAACCATGAGGTTATATTTATATATATTTATCATCAATATCTTTGAGTACTGACTAAACAATTACAATAATAGGATAAGAAAGGTAGCAGAATACAACAGTTACTAATAGGGCATTATGTAAAAATGTGGATGTGTAACCGATGTGATTCTGCAATCTGTATTTGGGGTAAAAATGGGAGTTCATAACCCACTTGAATCTAATGTATGAAATATGATATGTCAGGAGCTTTGTAATGTTTTGAACAACCAATAAAGAAACAATTACAATAATAATACAGTCTTATTCACAGACATAAATTACTAAGTTTCTGAAACTGGCACTGAACTTGCCATTATCCTGCATCAGCCTCCCTAGACACTGGGATTATAGACATGTGCCACCATGTCTGCTGCCCCCCTCCCACACATACCATTCTATTGATTAACACAATCAAAGTGTGACAGGATTCAAAGCTGAGGGGTTACTTGACCCTGCTTCTCAACGGAAGGGTGGCAAGGTCCCATTACAGAGGAGAGTGGGATGGGAAGTAAGTGGTATGGACATCTTTGAAAAATAACACCCTATCACATCCTCCCAAGTACTTCTCTTGCTTAAGTATATGCTGATCTCATTTTTTTTTTCCCCAAGGAGAAACCACTCAGGAGACTTATTATAAATGAGGTTCCTAAACTCTATTCGAGGGTAACCAAATGCTTTTTTAAAAAAATATTTATTTTTTAGTTGTAGTTGGACACAATACTTTTATTTATTTATTTTTATGTGGTGCTGAGGATCGAACCCAGGGCCTCACACATGCAAGGCAAGCACTCTACCGCTGAGCCACAATCCCAGCCCCAGAGGCTTTTATCCATATTCAGCTTTTCCGTTTAGCACATCTGACCATTTCTCCACTCAAGTGATTTGGTCACTTATAGGCTGCTGGATACAGCAGTAATCATTCTAAGGAGAAAAGCAGCCACTGACAGGAGCTGGCTGCACCCTCACAACTAAGGCTCCTAATGAACATAAACAATTTCTTGGACCTCCAGTGTTATACAAGGTTACTATGTGATCAGGATAACCAAAAAAAAAAAAAAAAAAAAAGGAAAACCACTGCATAATCATATCTGACAAGACAAAACACAAACTTTTACCAAATCACAAAAATGAACAAACATCCTACTGTCCTGGTTAAAACAGTGCCCATGGCTACTCACCAGTCTACTTCTAGTCTATCCTCCTAGATAATACTCATTACGATATCCACAAAATTCCTTCTTAACTGAATCCAACCTAGAGCAAAGCCTCACTTCTTTAAATCCTCCCCCAAATCACCTAACAGGTTCAAATCCTATAAATCCTTTTTGACTCCCCAACAGATGCCTTACAGTTCCCCATTGTGTGCATTCTGCTTCAGTGCAACACATCCAGTGATCAACTCCATTTGTTCAACCACCATGTCTTAGTGGTCTTTGGTTAGAACTCACTAACAACTTCTCTAAAGACCCTGGAGTTTACAGAATACGTTTATGGCCAAGGTTATTTCTGATCTTCTGAACTCTAACATACAGTCAGTGAGACATTGGATTTTACTCTTTTTCACTATGGTTTTGGAAGATAATTATATAAATTCCTTAGACCACCAGAAACTTTTTAAATGCCCTTACAGTTAAATTCATTTAACTATAGTTAAAATATATTTATGCATGGTGGTGCACATGTAAATCCCAGTGGTTCAAGAGGCTGAGGCAGGAGGATCACAAGTTCTAGCCTAGCCTCAGTAACTTAGCAAGACCCTGTCTCAAAATAAAAACTGAAAATGTCTGAGGATACTGTAGCTCAGTGGTTAAGTGCCCCTGGGTTCAACTTGGGGGCGGGTGGGGGGTAGAGGAATACACACACACATTTGCATATGTATGTATGTATGTATAGGTATATTTTATATATTTATATATATATATATATATATATATATATATATATATATATATATATAAAATCTGGACCCCAGATTTCCTTCTTATCACCTTATAAAGTGCAGAAAGATTATCCTGATAACAGTGGCAATAGCTGTCCTATCCCCAGCATGGCTACAGAGTCCAAGGGCAACCTGTCTTCAGACTATTGAGGACATTTAAGTCTCTGCTATGGGAAAACAAATAAGTATAATAGGACAACTGGCTCATCAGCTGTGGGTACCAGAGTCCAGAACATATTTCTACTGCTGTCATCTCCTCCTCCTCCTAATGAGTTCTTGATTTCTCTCATAGTCATTTTGCAAAGGAAAAATGTGACTTTTTTTGTGGTGCTGGGGATTGAAGCCAGGGCCTTGTATATGCGAGGCAAGCACTCTACCAACTAAGCTATATCCCTAACCCCAAAATATGACATTACTTATAATTACCCACCCTTTTCCCCTTATCCTTTTCAGTTCTCACTCCCTTGATACAAAGACTTGTATACTCAGAAAAACCATGTGTAGGGCTGGGGTGGTGGTCCAGTGGTAGATCACTTGTCTAGCATGTGTGAGGCACTAGGTTCAATTCTCAGCACCGCGTACAAATAAATAAAGGTCTACTGACAACTAAATATTTTAAAAAAGAAAGAAAAACCATGTGGCCTAAGGGGTATGGGCTCAGTGTTAGAGTACTTGCCTAGTATGCGCAATAGCCTGGGTCCAATCTCCAACACTACAAAAATGAAAAAAAAATTTTTCAAAAAACACTGTCTTCCACAGCATGGTAGTTAAGTGACAGATCAGAAACCTCACCTTACCTTAGGGGTGAACATATACAGTTAATTTAAAGGTGTTTAAAGAACGAGCTATAGCAGTTAGGTGATTTGGATTGGAAACAAACTCATCTGAATTTCAGTTCTAGAGTTATTTTGACACGCATGGCTCCAAATTCTCCTTAGCCTGTCTATTCCCAGGAACCCTGGGAGTTTTTCCCTTGCAAAATGACTATGAGAGAAACCAAGAACTCATTAGGAGGAGGAGGAGGTGACAGCAGTAGAAATATGAATGTTAATGCAAAAAAATTAAAGCATTGTTGGGCTGGGGTTGTGGCTAAGTGGTAGAGCACTTGCCTAGCAATGTGTGAAACACTGGGTTTGATCCTCAGCACCACATAAAATAAAAAACAAAATAAAGGTATTGTGTCCATCTACAACTAAAAAAATAAAAATTAAAAATTAAAGCATTGCTACCTAGGAATCATCTAGGACATCAAGCTAAAGAGCTCAACCTCACATAGGTTTAACTTCTCACATTTCACCGAAAATTATACTCTCTCAGTAGAATGAATTGGACATAACTTTCCTATGTTATATATGAATACATATAGTAAAACTCCATATGTACAACCACAAGAATAGGAAGTTATACTTCAAGTGTATATGTTAAAATACATTCTACTGTCATGTATAAATAAACAGAATAAAAAATTTTAAAAACACACACAAAAAAGAGAATTGTACTCTCTGGAGGACAATGTGCAGATTAGATATGAGGACTAATGTGGAGGGAAGAAATCAGTGAAACAACAAAAAGGATAAGGTTTGGCAATCATGAATGAATTTGATAATTTTTAAGTTTGGTTGCTTTTTGTGTGTGTTTGTGTCCGGCTGACTCCCTCAGGATGTGCGTACAGCAGATAAGATATTTCTGAAACATTCAGAGCACTGGCCAGCCCAGCTACTTGCTGGCCCTCTGCAAAGACTCTGAATAGAACTAGGCCGGTTTGTTTGGACTTTTTCTGTTGTTATTTTATGTGTGCCTGGTTGTTTGGTTTGAGGTTGTTTTATAACTGGTCTGGGGAGAGATCTGGGATGCAACATTGACTAGAGTCTAGAATGAATAGTGAAACTTCTGAAAGTGTGTCCTGGTCATTTTCAGACTCCTGGGAGGATTTGGAGGGCACGTGTAACTGTGAACTGTACCCCTGCAGGAGACTGTTTAGGGTCAACCTTTAAAAGAAAGCTTCAAATTAAGCTCCAGCACAACAGGATTTCTGGTTCTGAGCTCTAGATTAAACAAAATGATTACTTCTTCAGAGGAGGGAGAGATTTTATTGAGGGTTAGAAAAAAACTACCTACCATACCTTCTCAATTCTGACTCATTATGCTAATTTTTCTCTGACAATTAGATCATCACAGCATTTTTTAACTTCAACATAATTTATTACCAGAAATTAGGAACAACCCATATTTTGTTGTTGTTGACACAAATAGGGGTGTGAATTCCACTATAAATAACTACTTACCTGAATATAACTCAGCAAAGAATTTTAAAAGAAAATATCTTCTTAGTGTTTTTTTTAATTTTCATGGTACAAAGCACTATGACACCTAAAATTGAAGAAAAACAGTTTTGTTTGGTTAATCTTTGCTTGACCATTCAAAATATACAAATGAACAACCAAAACAAACCCATTCTATTAAAGACAAACATAAGACCTAAAATGTAAAACTTGTAGACAAACTAAGACAGGAGAAAAACTACATGACATTGATATGGGCAATGATTATTTGGATTTGATCTCAAAAGTTCAGGCAACAAAAACAAAAATAGACAAACGGGGGCTGGGGTTGTGGCTCAGCAGTAGAGCGCTCCCTTGTCATGTGTGAGACCTGGGTTTGATCCTCAGCACCACATAAAAATAAATAAATAAATAAATAAAGATATTGTGTCCATGTATAACTAAAAAAATTTTTTTTAAAAAATAGACAAATGGGGGCTGGGGTTGTGGCTTAGAGGTAGAGAGCTCACCTGGCATGTGTGAAGCACTGGGTTTGATCCTCAGCACCACACAAAAAAATCAATAAATAAAAAATAAAGAGATTGTATCCACCTATAACTAAAAAATAAATATTAAAACAATAAGACAAATGAGCCAGGTAACTAAGGACACTGAAATAGGAGGATTCTCCAAGTTCAAGGCCAGCTCTAAGCAACTTAGGGAGACCCTGTCTCAAACACAGAAGGGGTATAGTGGCCCACACCTGCAATCCCAGCAAAGCCAGTCTCAGCAACTTAGTAAGGCCCCGAGCAACTTAGGAAGACTCTGTCTCAAAAAGTAAAAAAAAAAAAAAAAAGGCTGGGGATGTGGTTCAGTGGTTGAGTGCCCGCCCCTGGGTTCAATCCTCAGTAAGGGAGGGGATGGAGGGAAGGGGGGGATGAAGGGGGGGTGGAGGGGGAGGGGGACAGAGGGAGGGGGGGATGGGGACAAAACACCTACCTGCCATTCAAATTCACTATCTGACCAGTCCCAGTATCTGCAATACCAAAATAAATAAATAAATAGATAGATGGATAGAAAGAACAGACTGGGAATGCAGCTCAGTGGTAAAGTGTCCCTGGGTTAATCCCCAGTACCAAAATAAAAATAGACAAATGGGATTATATCAAACTAAAATACTTCTGCACAGCAAAGAAAACATTCAACAGTAAAGAAACAACCTACAGGGGATGAGACTGTAGCTCAGTGGCAGAGCACTTGTCTAGCACATGTGAGGTACTGGGTTCAATTCTTTGAACCACATAAAAATAAAACAAATAAAATGGAGGCATTCTGTCCATCTATAACTACAAAAAATTTTAAACAACCTACAGCATGGGAGGAAATATATATCTGTAAGCCATACATCTGATAAGGGGTTAATATCCAAAATATATAAGAAACTCAACTCAATAAGAAGAAAATAACACAATTTAAAAATGAGCAAAGAGACAGGCACAGTGGTATATGCCTATAATTCCAGCAACTCTGGAGACTGAGGCAGGAGGATCGTGAGTTCAAAGCCAGCCTCAGTAAAAGTGAGGCACTAAGCGACTCAGTAAGACCCTGTCTCTAAAATACAAAATAGGGCTGGGGATATGGCTAAGTGATCGAGTGCCCCTAAGTTCAATCCCTGGTACCAAAAAAACAAACAAAGAACTTGAATAATATTCCTTGAAAGGAAGACTTACAAATGGCCAACAAACATGTGAAAAAATGCTCAACACCACTAATCACTAAAAAATGCAATAAAGCCCCAATAATATATCACCTCATACCTGCTGAAATAGCTATCATAAAAAAGATGAGGGTGGGGCTGGGGTTGTGCCTCAGTGGTAGAGCACTTGCCTAGCACATGTGAAACACTAGGTTTGATTCTCAGCACTGCATATAAATAAATAAAATAAAGGTCCATTGACAACTATTTTTTTTAAAGGATGAGGGGCTGGAGATGTAGCTCAGTGTTAGATTACTTGCCTAGCAAGCACAGGGTCCTGGGTTTGATTCCCCAGCAAGTGTAGAGAAAAGAAGACTCATGTACATTGTTGGTGGAAATGTAAATTAGTAAGGCATTATGGAAAATTGTATGGCAGTTCCTCAAAAACTTAAAATTACCAGCAATCCCACTTTGGGGTATATATGCAAAGGATTTGAATCAATATGTTGAAGAGAGACCTGCATTCTCAAATTAATTACAGCATTATTCACAATAGCTAAGTTATCGAATCAACAAAATTGTCCATTAAAGGGTGAATGGTAAAAGAAAATGTGATATATATTCACAGAATACTCTTCAACCTTAAAAAAGAAGAAAAGTCTATCATTTGTAACAGCATGGACAAACCTGGATAAAGTGAAATAAGCCAAGCACAAAATGACAAATACTGCATATTCTCATATATGTGTGGAATTTAAAACAATTACACTCATAGTAGAGAGTACAGTGGTGGATATCAGAGGCTGGAGGCTGAAGAGAATGGGGAGATGTTGATCAAGGTGTATATAAATTTACATAGATAGGAGGAATGTTTTTTGAGATCTACTATATAGCACGAAGACTATAATTAATAACAGAAATAGAAAATTAAGTTCTCTTGCTGGGTGTAGTGGTGCATGCCTGTATTCCCAGGAACTCAGGAGCCTGAGGCAGGAGGATTTCAAGTTGGAGGCCAGCCTCAGAACTTAGTGAGACCCTATCTGGGGCTGATAGTGGTAAAGTGTCCCTGGTTTCAATTCCCAGTAACCCCCCCCCCAAAAAAAAAAGGTATGTTGTGCATTTCAAAATTGCTAAGTTTCAAATATTTACACCACAAAAAATTAAGTTATTTCAGGTGATGGGTATGTTTCTTAGCTTAATTTAATCATTCCACATTGTGTGTGTGGGGGGGGGGGGAGAGAGAGACTTTGTATCCCATATATATATAATGATGTTTTGTCAACATACACTAAAATACAAATGTAAATAAATTAAACATTTTCTGTGCAGTGTCTAAACAAAATCTATTTTCATATCCATTATGATTTAGTTCAGATCTGTAACTGGGGGTGTGCCTGGCCTTCTCTACATAAAAATGCCCTTTCAGATTTACTTAGATCTGCTGTGTTTAGACCAGCAGTGGCCACAAGGCCAATAGTATTAGCATCTCCAGGGACTTGCTGGAAATGTTAATTTGGGGGCCCACCCCAGACCAACTGAAAAAGCAACTCTGCATGAAACCCAGCAATTCTGTTTTAATAAGCCCTCCAACTGATTCTGATGCACAGGAATATTTGAGAACCCACTGACCTGGACTGTCTGCTATACAGCTGTTTCTCTGGTTAACAAAGCAGCAGGTTTGATGGTTCAGAAGCATTAAAAGATTGCTTAGGGTTTCTAGTGGGTGCACAATTCTCTGCTATGAATTGAGTTTGCTAGAAAACAAAGAAGTGGCACAAAAGTGTTTTAAAGCCAGCAAGCCTGTAAATCCTTTACTGCAGTCCTACATAGAGCTAGTAGGCTCCACATGCAAAGAGAGACCCTGTTCTCAAGTAGTATCGATTTTCCCAGGAAGGTGCTGGGATTGTGATGTGCAAGTGCTCTCGGGAGGAATAAACTTTTTGAGCTGAGGTACTTCTTAGCTCTCCAAGTGGCTGCATCTGTGCTAAAAAGGGAGGAAATGTACCTGGAAGAAAACTGCACACAGTTTTGCCCTTATTTTATCTTAAAATATGTATATTAAGGGTTGGAGTGGTAGAGCAATTGCCTAGCACATGTGAGGCAGAAGCCATGCCCAAGGGAGTCTGGTGGGCTCCGCAGGTAAAACCTGTCCCCTTGTATTTTAATTTCCTATGTTCAAATGCAATTAGCAACTGCTTAGATGTAAAAGTGGAGAACAAAGCCTAATTCTTTCTCCAGACACTCTAGTGCAGTACTCAGAACAGAACAGATACTGTATTCAGTAATTTGGAAAAGAAAGCTATCATTCTACTAGTAACCATCTGAAACTACAGGTTTAGATCACTCCAATAAAATCATCTTTTAGAAGTTCGACCCAGGTGTGTTGGTGCCAAGCCAATAATACATTTTCGCCCAGATTTATCACTTTCAACAGTTTGCCACCTCCCCCAAGGATACCGCCAGTCCCCAACTGAAAATAACCAGAGCATTAAACATCCCAAGGTCAACACACACAGTTACACGTCCCCTTAACCCTACAACTATGCCATCAATTCTCGCGGCAGAGTCCGTCTGTGGGTTAGTTCCCCCCACTCCTCACGTCCTTTCACTTCCGTTCCCCTCTGTCTGCGTAGCTGGTAAGCAGGACATGCCCAGCCCTCAGACTGTAAGAAATACTACAAACCTCTGCCTTATCTGCTCTCCGTGGCTGACGGCCCCTGAACTTCGGCTGGCTTCAGGGAGCTATGGCAGTGGCAGTTCGGCCGCTCAACCACTCATTTAGGGTCGGCCATTATAAAGAAACGCACCGTATTGTTCAAGCGCCCGCTGGTGACACACAACAGAATCCCCACAATCCTCTTCGCCTCTGCCCTCCCCACGCCCAGCCGTGGTATTAACCCTTTCGCGCTCCGGTTTGCTGGTGGTTGGACTCCTCCTTGCACACCGACTGCTTGGTTGGGAGATCCAGGTGATTTAACTGGTAAAAGACCAGTCCTGTCCTCTTATTCATCTATTGAACATTGTCCTATTTTGCTTATAGGTGGACTTAGAAGCTTATCAGTCATTCTAAAATACGAGTTAATTTATTTGTTAGGTGAACAGTTTGTGATAATACCTTTAAACTGCTGGACCAAGCCAAACTCTCAATTTGTAGTTTCTGACCTGTTCACCTTGAGCCTGTAACACTTTCTACACTTATTCCCCATCTCCTTTAGGTTAATTCCTGACTCTGCATAGATAAAAAGCACAGACTTTGTAACCATGGGATCTACGGCAGATAACTCAAGCATGCTATTCCTTGGCTTCCTTATCTGTAAGATTAGTATAACAGTATCTATCCTTAGGATGGTAGTAAGAATATGAAAAGTTCACATGTGAGAAGCACCTAGGACATTGCCTGGCACAGAGTTAAGCAGTATATTGAAATAGAAATCATAATTATTGAGTTTGGTGGAAATATTGTTTCACCTATGACCTTCTGACTAATAAATAAGAAATGATAACAATAGCTAGTTAGAGGACCTATTGGATCAGGAACTTTAAGTGCCACCCCATTTTGTTGTTGTTTAACCCTCATAAACCCTTTGGTGGTAGTTAAATTATTATCTTTTCCTCTCCTCTTGCTTTTTTTTTTAAGTACATAAGAAAACTCAATAAGGTGGTAGCAGATAATAACTTGCCTGTGGTCACAGAGCTAGTAACATACAACACCAAGACAAATATCACTGAGAAAAAGGATAGAAATACTTTTCAAGTGATTTTTTTTTCTCCTGCAAGTTGCTTCAAAATCTTTTCAGGTCAGGAAGACTGTGTTCTTTTCAGAACTATCTCTTCCTTGATGGCTGGCAGCAAAGGAGATGACTCAAACCCGGTGGTCATGACCAGCTCACTTACTGCTTTCATTGTGCCACACAGGCCCCAATATTGCCTATTCTAACTGAGGCCACTGGGGATAAAAGTATAAGATCCTCACTTCACCCCACCATTCTGTAAAGCTTGGGTATTGTAAAAGATTTTGGTTATTTGAGGAGAGTACCAAGAGACTCTTTAATATACTCTTTGGACTCCAGCCAAATAGTAGTAATTTCCATATTAGTCTCTAGAGTCAGATATTACTGCCTGAGCCATGAGAGAACAGGGAAATCCCCTCTTTCTCAGATCAAAACAAAACAGGAATTCCCTCATTCTCCCAGAGTCTATAGTACCCAGGACCTTGTTATTCTTGCTTTATACCCACCCACTCTCACTTCCCAATTTATCCTAAGGCAGTCCATGGTGGTTCTTATACTTTTTCAGGGAAGGACTGGTGATGGTCATGGAACTGGGGAGGAAAAACATAAACTTCCAAGTTGGCTGAGATAAATGAAGCACACTGCCTCATTCGCATATTTGTACTACTTTTCTAGCTTGCTGATCTTCTTCACTGCCTCTTGGCATTTCAGAGCCTATTGTCTGCACTTCATGAAAGCCTCTAGTTTTAAATTGCAGGTGAATAATCTTGTCTTTCTTCCCCCAGAATCCAACAATAGCTCACATGTCTGAGCTTGCCTTCTACTTAAAAGTGGCTAAGTTTAGAAAGGAAAAGGACAGAGATAGCATGGAAAGATTTTTGCTTAATTTTCTCCATTATTTCCAACTGTCGGACTATTGAAAAATGTCAGCTTGGGGAGAAATCTTGTTCCAGAAGCCAAGAAAATAAAAATCCTAGTGCAAAAGAAAAATGTTAGCAGAGAAATGACAAGCAGACAAGGAGGTCTCTGGGCCAGTAGTGAGATCTGTGAGTGGGTCTTGGACACAAACAAGAAATTGTGCCCTTACAGCTTCTTTTACCCTAACCAACCCAATTATTTCACCACTGCACATTTTGCCTCATCACAGAATCCATCACCAGCTTAGCATAAGGGATAGGTGAGGAGACAGGATGTTGATAAACCCAATGTTACAAAAGATGCTTCCTTAGCATCTCTATTTGTACCCATAACATCTCTTTAGAATCATTGTCATATGTAGTTTAAGTCTCAGGGGTTTGCAGTGATTTCTACAATATGTTTCAATTATTTATTTCTTACAGGCTGATCTAGAGTCCTAATATCTATGACACAATTTTTATAGTGTACATAAACTGCTCTGCTGGTGACCAGTTCAAGCCCCTTTTCCAAGGCAAATAGGCCCATTCTCCAGAAGCTACAGGTGTTAACTGTGAATTTCAGCTGGTTCCTTCTGAGGAAAATGGCACTCCATAAAAGAGCTTTCATGCCTGCAAGATTGCAACATAATCCCCTACTCCATGTACAATTCTGCAACCTGCAGCCAGTAATTGACTGATGATTGGGGTACAAGGGCACCATGCCTCAAGATTCATAAATTTTATGGTGCAAATCCTATTCCAGAGCACCCCTTGGGATCATGCTAAAGCTGATTTCCAACTGGCTTAGTTTTTCTCCCCTTCTCTATCCTGCTTTTCTCACTCCCCTACACCCTGGGAACACTCCCTCAATAAGTTACTTGCCTAAGAACATGCCCCCTTCAGACTCTGCTTCTAGGGAACCCTGTCTAAGACTCACGCTTATCTCATGTTTGTTAGAGGACTATGTAAAGAGGATCCTTTGTGGGCCCCCCTTGTGTAACTGCAGCAGGCTGTACCCATCTCTGGGGAAGTCAGGAATGAGTTAAAGTACAACTGGACAGGGCTTCTCAAATCAAAGTTGAACATAATGTTACCAAAAGCTCTGTCCTTGTCCCCAATGCCAATTTAATAAGGAGGACACAGTTTTGAGGAAAAGGAAAAAGAATGTTTATTGCTTTGCTAGGAAAGGAGAAGAACAGGGGACTCTTGTCTAGAAACCGTGATTCTGTCCATCCTGAGGAACGGGGGCTTTTAAAGAAGCTATTCAAAGACTCCCTAACAGGTGTTCCTGTCAGAAGGATTATGAATTGCTTGTTAATTTTGGAGATAGCCATTCCTTAGATTCTCTGCCAGCACCCCCCACCAGTCTGAATTACTTGGTTCCTATGGTGGGTATGTGCTCAAATACAGATAACTAGGCCTAGAATGGGATATAAAGGTAATCCTGTTCCCTGCCCCTATGTTAGGAAGGGAGAGAAAGAGAAGAGGAAAAGAAAAACATGTCCATTTTAAAATAAGCCATTGTGTAGTGAGGGCTGTATTCAAAAGGTGAAGTGGACCACTGTTACAATAAGTACTAACTCAAATTAAGATGAGGTTCGGTTCTGTTGGGTACAGTGGCACATACCTGTAATCTCAGTGGCTGGGGAGGTTGAGGCAGAAGTATTGCAAGTTCAAAGTCAGCCTTAGCAATTTAGTGAGGCCCTAAGAAACTTAAAATAAAAATAAAATAAAAATAAAAAAAAAGAGCTGGGGATGTGGCTCAGTTGGACCCACCACTGGGTCCAATACCTGGTACAAAAACAATTTTAAAATACATAAAAATAAATGAGTCTCAGTCTATTCCTAACATCTCCTGTCTTGCTGATACCAACATATCACATTCTATCAAATGAGAAATGAAGTTATATGTATTCATGATTCTTTGTAGCAATTCTTACAATTAACACAAAGAGCTATGTAGCATTTGTTAAAAATTTGGTTAGATTAAGATTATTTGTGATACACATTCTAGCTGTAATAATATGAACCTCAAAATTATTTATCAACTGTTGGATGTTTTATTTTTGTTAACTGTAAACTCTATTATTGAAGATAGTCAAAGAATGTGCCTGAGGTGGGTTACTTGATAAGAATGCTCTAGTTATTCTAGAAGTGTTAAAAAACAGACCATATTACCAGCTTTCAAATAATAAAAATGTAATGTAAAGATTGTGCTATAATATAGGAACTATAGCAGATCATCATTATAAACATCAGTCCAAATATTGTAGAAGTGTACAGATAGTGGTTAAGAGAAATGTTCAGATTGAAAAAAAGTGCAGGTTGAAAACAGCCAGATTTTTAAAATATACATTTGCAAGGATAAAAATTTCATAACATATGTCATTTTATTCAATTTATCCCCCCAACATATATATCCTATCACATAGGCCCTTGTATATCCACCCACATTAATTTCAGTTAATTAAACATATTTTTCTGGCTTACAATAAAAAAGCCAAGACAGTAATTTTCTTTTTTTATTGATTTTTTTAAAGACATGACAGCGGAATGTATTATAATTTTTATTACACATACAGAGCACAGTTTTTCATAGGTTTGTATAAAGTATGTTCACTCCAATTCATGTCTTCCAAAATGATAATTTTCATTGTGAGTATCCTATCAAATAAATTTCACCTAAATAAGGATCCTGCCATATCCGAAAACACCTGTAATCCCAGGGGCTTGGGAGGCTGAGGCAGGAGGATTGCAAGTTCAAAGCCAGCCTCAGTAAAAGTGAGGTGCTAAGTGACTCAGTGAGACTCTGTCTCTAAATAAAATACAAAATAGGGCTGGGGATGTGGCTCAGTGGTCGAGTGTAAAACCTATTTCTAGGTATATTTGGAAACATTCTTTTTGGTATGATCTCTTATAATTAATTCCTTCTTATTAGTTTTATTTATGTATATTTATTTATATATTATATTTTAATTCCTTTTAACTTGTTATCTAGCAAAATGTATTGATCAAAAATCAGATTATGGAGAATCTTTGTATTGATTATTTTTTATTTGGGTAACTGAAATAAACATTTTCATAAGAATAAAATATCATTAAAAATCCCTACCAATTAAGAAATGTTGGTGTTTCTCAAAAGCCCTTTCTAAATAAAATAAATATCATGTGTATAAGTATTGTGCAGTGTTTCCATTTCATACAAGATTTTCATTATGGCATAAGAA